GGTGTGCGAGAACCCCCCTGTGATGGGACACAATTTGTAATTTTTAATGAAGGCTGACCCAAAGGCCCCAATGGACCTTGGCAGTCTGCCAATATTATCATGAATAAATGTCTTGTGGAAAAAAAAGAAAAACAATCAGTACTATTACTAATAATTCAAAGTTTAGTTCATTCTATAATACTACAGTCATTACAGGCTCCAAATAATGATAAACGTAACACAATACTTCAAATCAGCTGATAATGTAAACAATACAACAGTTCGGCAAAGTCGCTACTTCTAGTACACTTGAACTATGTTCACGACTCAAAAATAACACTTTTCATTAAACTGATTTATCTATGTTTGGATTTTTAAGAATGAATAAAACCTCGGTATTTCATCAAATTAGACATGTAGATTATGTTGTAGGAGGTCTCAGACTACACAGAACATTTCAGATTAGAAACGTAATCAACTGACTATTGATATTAAGCATGAAGTAGGAAACATAGCACAGGTGGGCTTTACATAATATTAGATACCACATTTCACTTTCCGAAACCTTATTGACTAATACACATCTTGTCATACATTTTGTATGGTGTGGTAAGCAATAGATAAACAGTACAGGATGGACTTCACTCCATAAAGCATCAACTCCAGAATGTATACAGAGATAGCAATATGAACGTCATGGTGGATATCTTTTCTTCAGGAATCTGCATTAATATAACATATCAGTTTTAACCTTGATATAAAGTTATAAGAATAAAATAGATTACCTTTAGCGTTTGAGAAAGTTTACAAACATCCTTGTCCGTATGAGAATCACGACTGGGAAACCGCCATTTGAGAGTCACCCTTAGAGATACAACACGCATGCGCAAGTGACGGGTGTAGTGAAGTTGAACCTAATCTGTTTGTATGCACTTGTTACTTCTCTTCAATTAATATAGGATGTGAATTTATTATACAAGATGCTAGTATTAAATCTGGTGATAAATTCACTGTGGCAGCTTTCCTCTTGCTATGTATAACAAGAAATTACCGAAAGTAGGAAATATTTTGACAATGGTAGACGGTCTCATTCATGACGTCAGAACATACGATCGAGAACTCGGGAAATATGACCAACAATCTATTTTAAGATGTTTTCCTTTGATACCTATGTAACGATATATTTATAAACTATCTTGTCACTGATTGATGGCTGATATTGATACGTGCACGTGACAAAACAGTTATACCTAAGATAAGATATTTGTATACTAAATTAGTCGTGTATGATGATCTTGGAAGGAAACCTGCGCTTGGAGTGCGAGGTAGGGGTATATGAGGTGATGACCAGATGTTATCCGTAACCGAATTCCGATAAGATATCCACATACACGATTGTCACAGGTAAGACACAGGGACGTTACATATGTGCATGTTATGTCCCTATGCACAATCAGTGATAGTGTGAAAAGAACAGTGCATGACATCCGTTTATGCCCCTTCATGAGAATGAAGCATTGCTGTGTTTGTCTATTTATCATTCCAATGTTGATAACCGTTCTGTAGGATTGTATTTCATGTGCCAATAATGTATGGCATATATAGTTCACAGTACAGGAAGTGCTGTGATATGTTATGCTATACGTACCGTCATAGTCCTGAATGAGTGATAGAATACATGTGAAAAGGAATTGAAGGGAATGCAATTTTTGTACAAATGAAAGGTCCCAGCACCTTGGATCAGGAGTGGTCTGAAGTATTCTTAGGTTAAAGTAATTCATTGGATCTGTATAACCGCTTGGTGCCGAGCCCTTGAGGCTGGAAGGGCGTGGCTCCAATAGATGAAATTCTTTACAAGAACTAATGCTTATGTGGCAAGAATTGGATTTGACCCAAATTTGTTATGAAGAATCTTTGGCTGAAGGGACCTTACTGCTGCATAAACGATACATTTGATCATCATTGGGCAGAGGGTACAGGTCTAAAAGGGGGAATAGATACGAAAACTGTTTTTCAGTTAGTTTTGATGAAGCAATTTTAGCTAACTAACTTTACATGCTTGTTACGAACTACAAGAATATCCATCTTTCGACAACTGATCTAGTTTCCACAAGAGAGTTGCCTCTATATTTATATTCAGACGGCGTTTTAAGAATCTGTGCTTTGTTAATATCATGTCATTGTTTTATTACCAGAAGTATGTTGTTATTGCCGAAGTTGCATAGAATTTTAGTTGCAATTTAGATTATGTTGACATTCTATACTGCTTTATGATAATGTCCATTTGTCAAATTTTCCTAGGTCAGTAGGTCATAGCGGAGATAAGCAATTTTCAGTACATTCCTTTCTGCACTTCACAGACATTTACAATAAAAAGGGAAGCAACTCTGAAATTAATTGAAAACAGTTTCTTTTATTTTATGTCATTACCATAAACATGGTATTATGTAGATAGTGAGATTTCTTAATTTCACAACAACAACAGGTCGACATAATGAATTGTTGATCTGCTCCTTTACCAAAAATAGGCAAATGTGTACTCTGACCAAAAATAGATGTATTTGCGCTGTCTTAATGCAAATCACGTCACATTCAAGATGAATGCCTCATCTTGAACGTGACGCCATTTTCTTCATCTGGTGCTGGTGATACTCTTTGTCCTAGTGATCTTCGATGTAAGATCGCTTCCTTCTGGTCCTTGTGATACTCTTTGTCCTAGTGATCTTCGATGTAAGATCGCTTCTTCAGGTCCTTGTGATACTCTTTGTCCTAGTGATCTGTGATCTGAGTTGGTTTCTGTCTGGTCCTGGTGATACTCTTGGTTCCCACAATCTTCGACCAGAGATAAGTTCTTGAGTTTACCATTATTACAAAATTGGTCTGCTGGTCATTATGAATTTGTGGATTGCTAAAATATTGGAATCGGATTCAGTCTCTGATTAAAATTAAAAGAACCCATTATTTGAAATCCCTCACTGAATGTTCTTTTATTTCATGCCTTAATGTGGTGTATTCAATTCCGTTCTCATCTATTTTTTATTCAAACGAGTCACGCTTTAGCTGGTGATAGAACTCGATCAGATCTTCTCCCACTACTATTTCCTTTTGTTGAGTTGGGCTCGACAGTCCAGGTGACAACCTTTCCTTCAGGAGACCATTCAGGAGTTTGTGTGTTTGAATTCTGGTTCATTTACAATGTCGATGTCGACTCAATTTATGTCCTGAAAATGTCAATTGGCTGCTGCCCTGATATTTTTAGTGTGTTTTTGTGATATTCACTTGGTGTGGAATCTCCGGTTTTTGGCTTTTATGTCTCATGATTGACTAGTGATTGCTAATGACTGGTACAATACTGACAAATGCTAGTAAATGCGTAAATTGGCAAAAATGGAATTTGAATATGAAATAGTAAATCTGCAAAGCAAACTACCAGTTCTATCAGAGAGAATGAAAATAAATTGCAACAGATAAATATTCCTTTGATTTCTTTTTTTTTTTTTTTTTTTGTTTTGTTTTACTCTCATGCACTTTCTGTGTTTTTGTGGTGCAAAAAGTAAATTAATGTTGAAAATTACTTTAGAATTGTACTTTATAGAAATTAGTTCAACTAGGCCTAGCAGCAAATGGGTATTGGATGCAGCTTTAACCTTGCGAATGGATTGGAATGCAGAGAAGAATCAGTAGTTGACTTAAGTACAATGTGAAGTGCCGATACAATTGCAGGTGTAAAATTAAATGTCTGAATTGTATTTGTATTTTTTATATGTGAGCAACTGTCAACAATCATCAAATTATCAACAACTTTTACAAGTGGTTTATTACCTTGAAAAAGCTTTAGACCCCATTTTGTGTGTGTGTTTTTTTTTAAATTATTGTTTTGATTGCGTCATGTCGTCATACCATTTCAACTCGGCTTCAATGATTATCCTAAACCTCAAACTTTCTGAATGTAGGCTGATAGGTGACTCTGGTACTCCCAGATCCTGTTTGTTTTTAATCTATTTCGGATTCCATGTTCACTACATCCCCAGCAACTTCACTTTGTGCCAAAATTGTAATTCTTCAGCATTTCTTTTTTCAGTAACATTACTAGGCATCAAAATTCTCATCCGTAATTCATTGTCAGATACAAAGTTCAAAGTTGATGATGAATCTGGAGTTCCATCGATATCTTGTATGTCGCTGAGCAAATTCCCAAAGCTTGACATCTTTATGACACTGGATGAAAAACACCAAAAAGTGATTTTTTTCCAATCAGTGTTTTTTTTTTATTATTATGACAGATTTGTTTTGAAATATTATATACATTTTTTTCAATAATTAAAGATTATTTTAATGTTATCAAAATCACATCTGTATGAGAAGTGAAGAAATGCAAAGGAGGCAACTCCAACTTTGGAAAGAAAAAAATATTCATACGCCAACTTAAGAGTACACTGAGAAATGACTTGAGAAAAATTTTGGTAGGTACATTGAGTCCAAGTTTAGTGGAAATATCAATATTTTATTTTGGCTATGCTTGTCTATAGATGAAATTCGAAATGGCCCATGACTTCAAAACGTTACGATACCTCATCTACCGAGAAATTCCTCAATCAGATCACCAAATATAAGCAGCATACTAATGACCGAAACAAAGAGTCTCAAGGCTTCAAACATGTACGATACATTTAACTGTAGGAACAATCGTCTCTTACAGATACGAAAATTTTATTTCGCATATAAATCTTTATTAGTCAGTGAACTAATTTTTTTTGGCAAAAAGAAAAAAAATGTTTCATATAAAATAATTTTTTTAACTTAATTCCTTTATTTTATTTATTTAATTTCCGACTTAAATTTATTCCTGATCTGACATACAGCAAAAAGAGCTTTACATATAATTAGTTTGTTTTTCATGACATTTTTTCAATTATAATTTTTATTATTTAAGGTTATTTTGATTCCTTGCATTTTGTAGGTATGATATGTAGCTTGTGAGTGAAACACCAAAGGAGACCAAAGAAGAGTATTCCTGGTCAGACTACGTGGGTAGACAAGCCATACATCACCCTGATCAAGAACTCTGTGAAAAGACACCAGCATTCTGATGCTCACCTGGAAGCAGAGTCATTTGAAAGAGAACTTTCCCTTAAATCTTGCCAGATTGCAGATGGGTAAGTGTTGAATGATTATCCAAATAAAGAAAGTATAATTGGTAATACAATGTTGAAGAGTTCAGTGTTGTGGTTAACATTCATAAATAGTATTTAAGAATTTTAGATTGTGAATTTTTTTTATTTAAAGGTTTGTTAGAGAAGAATCACTTAACAGAATAGGGATGGAAGCTGCCATACATACAACGCCATGACCTAGACCTACAGAAATTGTGTGGCTTCGGCAGTGTTGGTGCCTCTGTCATGTTGGGATGCCGGAATGGTGTAGCCGCCCTGTTGAAGCAGCAAGTCCCCCATCTCATGAGCAACCATTGTGTGGCCCACCGACTAGCCTTATCCAGTTCACAGGCAGCGAACAGCATTCCATACCTCAAGAAATTCAAGGCCATTGTGGAACAGCTGTACAGGTTCTACAACTACAGTCCTGTCCAGACTGCAGCTCTCCATGAAATTCAGGTAAATAATGTCTCCATTTTAGTTATTTACATGCATCCATGATACAAAGTAACTTTAAAATGATTTGTGCTCTTATTGGTACAACAAATTTATAGTAATTTGTATTCATTTTTGTCATTACAGGTGATTTTGAATGACCCCAAAATCAAGATCACCCAGGCAAAAGATGTACGCTGGCTGAGTCATGATGCTGCCATACAGTCCATTAGGCAGTGCCTGGAGTCCATCATCACCAGTTTGGAGAGGGAAGCCCAGGAGAGATCTGAAGTTTCGCCCATACACTAAAATGTACTTGCTGAAGGAAAATAAAATGACACTGCTACGTCATGTATACCTGTGCTTCACCTCTTCACGTATCTCACAAACACAAAAATATGACAAAAACTTATCTGGGCGACCTAACTTAATCTTTTAATATGAGCTAACATCCTTTGCTACTAGACAGATGTTCGGCAAAAAATTCTGAGGAGTTGTTCCGGTATACAATGTATCAGTTGTGGTAAATGTTGTTTTCATGATCAGTTTAGGAAAGAACAACAAGTTTTCAGGAACAACTGACAAAATGGATACTTCATCAATAATCGATGAAAATGACACCTCTTTAACGTACATGCCACGTTTTATTCATAAGAACAGTGGCACGGTTCAGAACATATACATGTACTTGACATGGTTCTAAATTTATCAGATAAGCTAAATTCCGAAATGTATTTACGTATGGGGATAGTGAATCTTCCCGCCTAAATTTTGACCTTTCTTCCGATCATATGGGATTTTCCTCAGTTTGTTTCTTGTGCTCAGAATCTAGGCTCTTATAACCGAAGAGTCTTAGAATGACGAAATGTTGCCGTTGTATTTGATTGTTAACTATTAGAACTATCCTCAATTAGTTTCATGAGCCAGGAAGTATATAACCACATTACTTACGGGTTATGATGTTCTATTTGGAAGATTAGTCTTACATGTAAGTCATACTATAATTCGATAAGGTGAAAATAATAACGAATTTTTAATAAAAATGTCATAAAATTACATGGAAACGTTTACAGTTGATCATTTCTGAAAAATATGTCATTATTTATATTCAGATAAGTGTTTTTATCAATTATCTAGAGTACACTTACTATTACTATCTCAATATTGAAAGACACTATTTTCCTATAGTACAATTGTTATATGAAAAAGATAAAAGATGACTTTATAATAAATTTACTATGAACTACCCCTGATATCAATTATAATTTCGATCAATACCTATTTAAACCACAACACACAATTTAAACACGCTTGTATAAAATGTAACCCTGTAAGTATATCTATATTTACGCTTCATGTCCATTAAGATACTGGTGACATAGGAAGCAAATGTATACAGAATTATGTTGGCCTTCTTTACTGCTCTGTAAAAATAACAGACCCGCTGTCCATTGCGATCGACCTTGTCTAGGTCAGTACGTCAGAAATCATAAATTGACATACTGTGCTATTTAGGCTTGCACCATGTGTTAACTGGGTTAAATATCGAATATGTACAAGAACAAATACATCACGTAATTACCGACATTTCTACACAATCCTAATTCAAACTCCAAATCGTAATAACTATGGCAATTCTTTAGGTCAGTATTGACCCCGCACCCCAAGTCTTAGAAGAACGGAATAGCTGAATGGTGCAGTTGTATTAATTATTGACTTATTAAATCTGATACTAAATTGGTATTGAAAAGTATTGTTCACTTGTTTGTTTACTTTACATAGCATAAAAAAGTATACAAGTTTATGGAAATATGATTTTTTTTTCTCTTCTGTTTGTAGTATTTCTTCATTCATGCGGTATACAAACAGAGGGGGTGATAACAAGAGGTCACATCCCGGCTGTGTGTACTGACAAATGCCTTCTCAGTGTCCCTGTTGCATACCCAATTAAATTCAGACGTGTGGAGAGCAGACTTGATGGTAGAGTTACCTCCCCTTTCCCTTTTTGTATTTGTGGTGGTTCTTTAGGTTATTTGAATAATTTTCCATTCACGTTTTTGTTTTCCATCTTTGCCTACCGTTCAATCTCTCTCACTCCCTCTGGGATGTGGTATAACATTATAGAATTTGCAAAAAAGTGAGTGTTAACCTTATGTATATTTAAGATTTTTACATAAGACACACGCACGCACGCACACACACACACACACACACACACACACACACATACGTATGAAGCATACCGAGTGAACACCTTGACTTTACACATGCCAAGTGAACACTAAGGTTCAATAACCTATTTTCGGAAAACAAATTACGTAGACATATACTTTTGGGTATGTATTGCACGTATTGCACAGGGTATCGCTATAGAAAGCACTTCACTACCTACAGTGCAAGTGGACACCTAACTGATATCCATGCACATACTGGCGAGTGAACACCTCGTATAGTTAACCGAAGGACTGGTGCTAAGTGAAAGGAATACGCAAACCCAAATATAAATTTTGAATAACAAATTTATATACAAAAATACAACAAGGAAACAATACACAGTTTAACAGAATATTTCATCTGATGTGCTAAGATCTCACCTCACCTCAAACCAGCTTAAAAATAACAATACTGGCCACAGAGTTTACCCAGCAATTAAAGATATGACTAGAATGACCACTGCCATAAATTATCTGGCATTACTGATTCACTACGTCCGCTAGAGAACATTTCCAATAAATATAGGTTAAGAAATATTAATTGACTTCCTACTATTCTATCCTATTCACTGTGAGTATATTACTACCGGCTATACAATTACACTGAAAGTTCCATAACAGTTAAAGTTCACAGTTCCAGTACACAGTTCAAATACCAATCCAGTACACAGTTCAAATACCAATCACACGATTGTCGCATATTGGAAGCCACTGAATCATTACCACCATTCACAAATGAGTGAGTCCCGGTGCGTGAACCTCAGGTGTATCGCCATCTACGTTGATGTGCCGCTGTCCCAGAGCCGTAGAGGGATGGTCCGTGTGGTCAGCTATAGACGTCGCCCAAGTGATTGATAAAGTTCAGGTCGTTCGCCCATGTTCTCTTGTACGTTGAACTGGTGTGGACTCAGCGTCAGTCATGCCCAGCCGTCCTGGTCAGGTCCCCATCTAATTGTTTACCCCATCACACCATCACCACGGAGCCTGCCAGACCAAAACTATTTGTGTACTATCTACTCACATATTTGTTTACATTTTACCGAGAACTTCCGGTTAGCGCCGGAAGTGTAAGTTACACACGTGACCTCACAGTTTAAAACTTAACATAGGAAAAATACCAAATATTACAAAATTACCCATTGACAGCTGAGGATTACCAACTATCTTTCTTTCATAAACATTTTATGAACCATTTAACATAAAAATATTACTGTACAATTCTGTGAAGTTGCCTAATACTCTATACAGGTACACGTGCTCGAGCAACTAGCTCAGGCCATGCTTCACTCGCTAAGAAAATCAAATAACTGCGAAAAATAGCATTGACACTCTAATACACTTAATTGTTCAGAATAATAGTAACAAAATACAACTTGTACTCACATTTCCATGGCAAAAAACCAGCCAGAAGTAGTTATAAATATACCACACATTTTCGGAGAGCCCTGCTCCATCACGTCTACCGCCCAGGTGAACGTTCTCTGTCTGCCCTGAGATCGGCCTAAATTAATTCTGATTGGCTAAAATTCCCACCTGGCATCGTACAAATAAACCCCACAGCTACTGATACCCACTTTGTACAACAAGGCCAAA